CGTGTGATATGCAGGAGGTCAGGCTAGATGGCCATAATGGTCCCTTCTTGCCTTTAAAATCTACCACTCTATTATTTCAACAGGCACTGTGTCCACTTCTGTCACGTCTGGAGTTGGCTCTACACATCAGATCTGTGACACCAACCCTTTCCAATTTTCCCTACATGCCTTTGCATTACCTTTTGTGTTATCATGAGCGTTTCTTTCAGTGCCATCACTATGGTACCTGAGTGCTTTGGGGAGACACAATGAACTTCATACTCCATTTTCATCTGCAGCTTTCAGATTTCAAATTCTATTTTGCTATTTTGGAGTGTTAGGCACTTGTGCAAGATCAACCCGGATTGGCCACAGCCCACAGAACATATCAAGCAAATCAGCCGAAACCAGATAGTCTAGAAATTAGCTAAACCCTTCCCTCCCTCAGACAGCGACCACCCCATGAGTCCTACACTTGCCCAGGTGAGAAGTTGGTGTGGTAGATATGGGCTTTGCAGCATGGTTAGGGTATTTCTGACCAAGGTTTAGTAGAGACTGAATTCCAAGGGAAGCCCCCTGACCCCAGCCTACCCTCTCTTACGCTGGGGAGTAGGGAGGGGAGGGGGGCGAACTCATTGCCTTTGTTACCAAGCCCTCTCCTCTGCCCGATCTCTATCACTGCTGACAACACCTCCAGCCTCGCAGTCACTCAGGGCTACAACCTGGTAGACGTCTTTGACCCCTCCGACCTGCGTGTGCAGGGCATGTCCAAGTCCTGTCACGTAACTCTCCATCATGTTCCTAAGATCCGACCCTACTACCTACACTCTCCTGCATCTCCAGCCCCTCGTCATCTCCAGCCTTGGTTCCGGCAACCTCCTCCACTCTGGTCCACATGCCCCTTCTCGCACACCCAAAGCACGAAATCCCTCCACAGGCTCCTTGTCCGCATTCTCAAGGCCCTTCACAGCTCCACCTCTTTACTGATCTACTCAGTTCTCTTCTCATGTTTTCCCCTACCCCCTCCACTCTGCCAGGGATGGAGCACCCACCTGTCTGCATCTCCCACACTGCCTCCAAAGTACAGAACAGCCCCCCTGAACCGGCCCGCTCCCCATTCCTGTGTCACACCCATCCTCAACACCCACTCAGCCAAGGAACAATGGACCATTGGGTAGAGCTAATGTACATGTATTTAACATAAAAGATGCATATAATGATAGGAAAAAATGGTCCATATTTTGGTTTGTATTCCTTAATCTCCCCCTCCGTATGTTACAGAGGGCTTATTGTTGATGAAGAAAAGTATCTGTGTGTGTGTGTGTGTGTGTGTGTGT